TGTCACTTGGGACAGTTAAAGCAAGACTGAGTAAATCACTAGAAAATATCCTATAGGGAGCAATCTTCATTGGCATGGTATCAACTTAATACTTACTTTCCATCTCTATTTTCTATTATTCTCTATCATTTTCACATAATACAGGCCATAACTCAGGAAAGCACTTCTACTCACACACCAGTTAAATACATACTTAAATTTAAGCCCAGGCTTCAGTTTCATTGAAGACAACAGGACATAATCACATGCTAAACATTAAGCATAGGCTTAAGAGGTATCCTGAATGGGGGGAGGGAGGACTTAAGCATGTGCTTCAGTGTTTTCATATATTGGGGCCATGGACTGCAGAGCAGTTTTCCAAAAATTCCAGCAATACAGCATTAGCACATCTTTTCTATTTTGCTTAAACATCCCTCTTTACTAAAGAGTGAGCCAGGTAGGCAGAATTCTTTATATATAACTGGAAAGTCAACAAAAGATCTGAAAAATATGTTGATTTCTTATTTATACTAAGCGACATACAGTCATTGTACTGAACAGTTCATTCCCTTGTGAATAATATTACTGGTTCCCGCAGTTAAAGACACAAGGAACATCTCCCAGACTAACAGGATCTTTCAGAATGGAATGAAATTGATGTCAATGGAGATTCAGTAGAACCTCAGAGTTCCGAATACCAGGGTTATGAACTGACCAGTCAACCACACACCTCATTTGGAACCAGAAGTACACAATCAGAAGAGCAGCAGCAGAGACAAAAAAAAAAAAAAAGAAGCAAATATAGTACAGTACTGTGTTATACGTAAACTACTAACAAAACAAAGGAATCATTTTAAAAAAAGATTTCACAAGGTAAGGAAACTGTTTTTGTGCTTCTTTCATTTAAATTTAGATGGTTAAAGGCAGCATTTTTCTTCTCACAGTAAAGTTTCAAAGCCGCATTAAGTCAGTGTTCAGTTGCAAAGTTACAACTATTTCAGAGTTCCGAACAACCTCCATTCCCGACAGGGCCAGCTCTAGGTTTTTTACCGCCCCAAGCAAAAAAAAAAAAAAAAAAAAACCCCCCGCGGGGGCCCCTGCCGAAGCAAAAAAAACCCAACCACAATCCAGAATGCCGCCCCTGGAATTCTGCTGCCCCAGGCACGTGCTTGGTTTGCTGGTGCCTAGAGCCAGCCCTGATTCCCGAGGTGTTTGTAACTCTGAGGTTCTTCTACTGTATGCCAATTGACACTAGTTGAAGATCTGGTCTTAAGAGTGTCCACAGTAGTTTTCATTCATTTTAAAAAAAAATAGAACTTGGGTAAAATTTTCCAAAGGCCCTAGGTCCAATTTTCAAAAGTAACTTAGACACTTAGGCAGTTAAGTCTCACAAAGGGCTAGATCCATAAAGGAAACTTAAGCTCCATATTGCAATACCTAATGTTTAGAATCCTGCCACCCGCTGAAATCTTTAGCTGTAACTTAGTCATTGGTCAGAGAGAAAGTGAGAATGACTCTATAGACAAGTGGTTAGCACACTGTCCTGGGAGACCTGGGTTCCAGACCCTGTTCCAATGACTATTTAAGTATTTCATAAAAAGTGGAACACCTTCAACAGGAGAGATGTGCTTCAGTGCTTTCCTGTTTTGGGACCACGGACTGTAGGACAGTGAGAGAGACAGAGAGACCCACCCCAGAATACCATATAGCCCAGCAGTTAGAGTACTCACCTTCTTCCTTTCTGTTTGTGTGGAGCCTGATCTGGTAGGCATGCTCTACGGTGGCCTCTGAGAATGCCTACAGATTGGCCTCCACAGGCGAGATAGGTTAGGGAATTCCTAGCTTGAGGATCCTGCTGGGGCTGAGGTAGCATCAGGATTTAGGCAGTGTGCATGTCCCCTGGCAGAAACGTAGGCACACTGGGGACTTTACCAGTGAAAACGTAGCAACCTAGGGAATTTAGGTGCCTACAGGGTTAGGTGGCAGCTGAGCAGAGGTTTTGAGGATCTAAATTTTGGACTTAAGTGCCTAAATTCCTTTGTGGCTATAGCCAAAAACATTTGCTTGGTCCTACTTTCCCTACCCAAATTTGGAGCTAATATAAGGCTGCTCAACCACCAAACGGTTTTCAGTTTCACTAAGGGGAGAGCGTGAGAATTCTTCCTGTGCTGAGTTCCACTCTCCTCTGATAAACCCTCACACTCCTCAACCTTGTCCCATCCTCAGGAAGCTAAAGTTACCCTGAATAGCAGAGGGAAATGTAGGGAAAGGAAAGGGCGAGTGCCAACTCAGTGCTCACTAAATCGTCTTATTACAGTGTGTTGAAGAGGCAGTTGTCTGATGTGCTCACCTCTGCTATGATGAGAGGGAGTGGAAGAGCAAGGTGAGCCCAGCCCAGTTTTTTGCTAGGAAAGCAAGGAAAGAACGAAGATTTAGGCAGGGATACTGTCTTATCTGAGTGACCCTGAAGGACGAGAGAGTTTGGGCCTGATCTAAAACCCACTGAAGTAAATGGAAAGACACTCACTGACTTCATTGTTTCTGGGTCAGGCCCACAGAGAGCCCAAGAAGCAGTGGGGCAGCACCTCATCATCCCCACCCGATCAATCTACTGCAGTGTTTCTGTTGGCACATCACAGAAGCTATCGGTGCCCTGGTGCAGGTGAGTATTGGCTCACAGTTTTTTAGATAAACAAGTAGCAAATAGGCTGATGGTACAAATTACAGCAGCATCTTTACTCTCATTACAAAGTCCCTCCCTACACAAGATACTTCAGGGGCACAAGTGGTGGTATCTATTAGGCTTGACTTTTCTCCTTTGTTCCCACCCCAGACATCTTTAGGCACAAATTGGAAATGTGACTCTTCCAAAGCATATGGACACGTTTTCTCAAGCCAAGGTGCACATACAAAACATTCAGTGTGTGCAAAGAGCTCAAAGATTTGGTTTTGTGAGAGTGAACCTATTTTAGTTTATTTTTTTACTGATGTTATAGATCAGTGGTCCTCAACTGGGGGTCTGCGAGCCATTTCAGGGGTGCCAAGGGGCCCTGCGGCTGAAGACTGAAGCCCTGAGCCCCGATGCCCTTTGCAGGGCTAAAGCCCAGAGCTGTGGGGCTGAAACTCCCACGGGATTGAAGCCTCCTATGGGATTGAAACCCGGAGCCATGGGACTGAAGCCAGGAGCCCTGGTGCCACCCCGCAGGGCTAAAGCCCCAATACCAAGGGTGGAGTTGGGAGGATATAAGGGGCATTGTTCCCCCCACACACACTTCAGTGCCTTACCCAGAGCTGGGCAGGCCTGGGGGCAACTCCACACCCTCCCCCACCTCCTTCTCTCCCCCAGCCCCTGCCGAGAGGCCCTGCCCCCTGGCCAGGTCAGAGGTGGGAAATTGGAGCCAGGCACTGAGGGCAGCTGCTGCCATGAATTGGGCAGCCACAGAGCTCTCCTATCTCCTGCTGCGGCTACTGGTGGTGCCCAGGATTGTGGCTGCTCCTCAGCTCCCAGCGCCCTTTTACTGCTGGAGCAGGCGGTAAGAGCCACCCAAGTAGGTGACCCGACTCCTGGGCAGCAGAGTCCTCAGGGAGCAGTGACCGCAAGGCGGGGGCCCCTCCTGGGCTCCCAATATACAGCCCCTAGCTACCTCCCTATCCATGCACAGCCCCTAGCTACCCCTCTTCCCTGCACCGCTCTCTCCACACAGACCCTAGCTACTCCTCTCCCTGCACCCTGAGCTACCTCCCCTGCCTGCACATAGCCCCTAGATACCCCCTGCCTGCACCTTGAGCTGTTTTCAAACTGAGCTGAGCCCCACTCTACTTCCCCCCATTTGATTTATAAGTTTTGGGTGCAGCGTCCCCCCACCTCCCAGACAGGCTGGCTGGACTGCTGAGGTGAGTCAGGGGGTGGAGGTGGTGATCCCTCCCTGGGCCACACTGTGCAGAGCTGGCCCGAGCCCTGCTCCCCCCAGATAGAAGTCAAACTACAACTATGTCCAAGGACACCTCCCCCCCACACCTTCCCTGCAGGTTTTATAGCATGGGGAGGGGGGGGGGACTCAGATAGAAAAAGGTTGAGAACCTCTGTTATAGATTACCCTTTTCCTCTTGTTTTTTAATTAAACCCAATTAGAGAGGTGTTACCCTATAATTTTATTCTAAACCACAACTGACTCAGCATTCATCACTTGTTGAGGTGGGAAGCTCTTAATTAGTAAGCCAGCCTCTTTTTCTTTTTTTCTTTTTCTTTTCTTAGAATAGAATACAGTGCTTTCAGCTGAGTGTGTACAAGTGAGAGCTTGAGCCATTTTATTTAGTTAGAAACCTTCCCTAGAGTGTGACCAAAAGAACATTATTGTTCACCCAAACCCAGCCTTTTTTGCTGTCTGAAACACCTGGCAGAAGGCTTGCTGTATCATTTGCACTGGCAGCTAAAGGAAAACTTGAGTAAGATGTATGTCCAAAACATCCAGAGAGTTAATCAGGAGAATACAAATCACAGCCTATTTCGGGCCAGATCCTCATCTCAGTTACACTGCTTTAAATCAAGAGATCAGTGAAATTACTCCAAATGTACATCTGTGTAACTGAGATCAGAATCTGGTGCTCATTTTAATAAACACAATAGAATGAGCCACCTTAGGGACTCTTTGTTTTGACAAGAATATGTATAGCTGTCAGAAAAGATCATTAAACTCTTCTGGTAATGAGCTCATTTGAAACAAGCTCCCTATTAGTAATTATCACTTGGTTTTGATTGATTCATCAGTTGCTTTCGGTGTTCCAGTTTCATAAACAGTTCATGAATTGCTGAGTTAAGAAATGTAATCATTATTTTAGAATTTGGTAAACTCAGTCAACAATGAAAAAACCCAGCCAGTCAGCCAGCCCTGTTTCAGGACCAGTCCATTCTAAATGAATTGGCTGTGTAGCATATCCATTATAGCTGGACTGCAATTTATTCAACAACGAAGAAAGTCAAATGGAACAGTGAATGCTTGAGAAGTGAAAATTTTTCTTACCTATTTCAGTCATGGTTATCCCTGGAGCTAATTGCCCATTGTTGAAAGAGCTATAGGTAAACAAGTTTGGTACAGAAGTGAGGTCATAGATTGGTTCCTGCTTTATCTGTTTGATTCCAGTCATGTCTAACCCAGACTGATCTGGGGAGGGCTGGGCAGAATCCACATTATAATAACCCTCGGACTTTGGCAGGTCAATGACATGCCCATTCGAGTAAGTGCCACCAGTTTCGTTGTTCAGGTTGCTCAAGCCGTTACTGATGCTGCTGCTGTATACCCTGGCAAGGGCTTCTGCCTCACCACTCTGCTGCTGCCGTTGCTCCTGTAATCGCTGCTGGTGCTTCTGCACTTCAGCATACAGGCTGTCCCTCTGCTTTTTGGACATTCTTCCAAATTTCACAGCTGAAAAGCAAACCATAACAGAAACCATTGCTCTCTTTTCTTAAATCATTTTCCTATTTACATCACTTTTGCCCTGTCTTTCTGCCGGGGAAATCAGAAATGATACAAGGCTGCAAACTACACATGTATTATGAAAGCTGAAGCATTATGCTCTTGATTTGCAAGGTACCAACATTGCTCCATTTTGACAGACAGGGTCTCAGGCTACATCTACACTACAGGGGGGAGTCGATTTAAGATACGCAAATTCAGCTACGTGAATAGCGTAGCTGAATTCGACGTATCACAGCCGACTTACCCCGTTGTGAGGACGGCGGCAAAATCGACTTCTGCGGCTTTTTGTCGGCGGCGCTTACTACCACTTCCCCTGGTGGAGTTAGAGCGCCGATTCGGGGATTGATTGTCGCGTCCCGATGGGACGCGATAAATCGATCCCCGAGAGGTCGATTTCTACCCGCCGATTCAGGCGGGTAGTATAGACCAGACCTCAGTCAAGCAACATACTCCTCCCTGCTGTGAATGTTAAAAAAGACCTGGCATCTTTCTCTTGTCTTTCTGTGTTCGCTACACAACAACCCAGAGGTATATAAAACTTACAACCTTTAGATTTGTATCCCATGTGATTTATCAACTTGCTCCCAAACCTGTAAACTATGCACTAACTGATTAGTGCCTTCTGATGAAAGCAAATCCTAAAGCCCTATTATTGCAACCTTTCAAGGGGCTGTTATCTTCACACTCCTATTTTTTTAAAAAAACCAACATTACAGGTTAGAGTTAGGACCTGCAGGGAAATAACAGACTTGAAGGTAAGCAGCATAAATGAATGGCACATCTGCCATAAAGGCAAGACTTATGGATTTACACAATCATATTTTACATAATCTCCATGTGTAAAATCTGTACATTCTTCACTGATGACAAATGAAGTAAGTCAGCATTAGAGTGCAAACTGGATTCTCCAGCACTTTAAATCTTTAGAGACTCATGTCTTCCTAAAAGATATGCTCTGATTCAAGCCCAAGTTATTACGCTTGATGCAAGAATTACTGGCTGAAAGTCTATGGCCTGTGTTATACAGGAGGTCAGTCTAGATGATATTAATGGTCCTTTCTGGCCTTAAAATCTATTAAATATTTTCAGGTAGATCTGGGAAACCTCAGCCCAGAGATGGTAAATAAGCTTTTAGAACAAATGAGGTCACTCAGTTGGGAGAATATCTAGAGGGGATCAAGGATGGGGCTCTGAGGGATATCAATACAGAGCACAAGAGAGGGACACCAGGACATTCCTTTTTGGGAATATAATTATAGAATGGCTATTAGCCAAGATGAACAGGGATGCAGTCCCTAGCCTCTGTTTGCCAGAAGCTAGGAATAAGCAACAGGGGACTGATCACTTGATGATTACCTGTTCTGTTCATTTCCTCTGAAGCACCTGGCATTGGCAACTGTTGGAAGACAGGATACTGGGATAGGTAGACCTTTGGTCTGACCCAGTATGGCCGTCCTTAATGAAGTATCAAATAGTCCTTTCATGTGGTATGAGAACAAGTGTTTTCTAAAGCCGCTGAATTACTTTAGATCCTTCTACATATTGTGCTAAATTCAGAGACAACATAAATGACTGCCAAAGATGGGCCTGGTTCTCATTTACACTAGGGCCACTTTATGCTTCTATTTATACACACTTTCAGGCCCCTTTACGATAGTCAGATCCTATAAGTCTGTGTGAATGTAAGTGTAACTTGCATGCTGAGGGAGCAGAAAGATGTGCAAAAAGAGAGGAAAACACCAAAGAAAGCAGGGTGCAAGAAGGTATATCAGATAACAGCCCCATCAGTTTCTCACTCCCTTTTAGGGATTGCTTTCCCTGCTATGGCCCTGCCTTTCCATCCCCATAGCACATAAATTATACCACTTTACACCATCATTTGCATTACCTATGGATCCTGCCCATCATGCACTTCTTGCTCTTATTTTAACCACACCAGATGAGAGCAGGGAGGGCCAATCCACAACGACTTTATGTTGAAAAATGCAACTACATATTTTCTTTAATTTTAGGGCCTCAGTAATAGAAACAAACACCCACTGTTTATGCTCATTATATTTTCATTAATTGGACTCTCCAGCTGCTGTCAATTAGCATCCTGCCTCTGCATGATAGAAATGAGTCTGTTATTAGACTGAGAGTTAAAATTCACATATGATTTCTTTGTAACAACGAAAAAAATCAATAAAGGCAAGACTGTTTATGTGAGTGTTTATACTCATAGAGCAGTGGCTCCCAAACTGGAGTTCGTGAACCCCTGGGGGTTCATGAAGTGTTACAGGGGGTTCTTGGGAAAAAATTCCCTAATGGAGGACAGAGCTGTCCATAGGGACCCAGGGCAGCACGGGGCAAGCAGCCTGGAGCCTCTAGACTTCCAAGAGCTAAGCAGCTCAAAGCAAGCATATCGATCACACTGAGGAGATTTAAACTTCAAAACTCCTTGTAAGAAATGGAAAGGGAGGTGGATTTTTTTTTTTGCTGTTTTTAAAATAAATAAGCAGCTAGTATTGTTTTTAAAATTATTATGAAGAGCTAGTTTGAGCTTTGTTGTAACGTGCGTTGTTTGCCTGGACTGCTCAAGACCTGAATGCTTGTGTAGGAGGAACTCTTTGAGTTGGCTTCTTAAATACCTTTATGCTGTTTCACAGCTGATATTCTTTGACGAAACATAGGAGCCTTGTCTTATAACAAGCTTATTCAAAGTGATACAAGCTACAAAAGTGAGATCTTGGAAGAGTGTTGCCGTTTTCATAATGTAATAAAAATACTATAATGATAAATAATAATTAATAATAAATAGTGTGTAATAAGCATGTCATAAAAACACATTTTATATTTCCAAGATCACTTCTTTTTATAATTTATACTCAGGTAAAGGAGAAAATCCCTAGAAATATTTTTAGGAGGGGGTTCGTGAGACTTAACATTTTAGTGAAAGGGGTTCACAGGTTGTTAAAGTTTGGGAACCACTGTCATAGAGGTTAGAAGAAGGCAGCACTGGGAGATGAAACCCTCTGTTCATCTACACCAATGAAAACTCAGGGCCACTGAGAAACTCTGCTTTACAGGTGAGGGACAGAGCACTAGCAGCCAAATACAAAAGTCCTTGTGATACCTTAAAGCCCTCAACTGCAGTCAGGAGACACCACTTTTACGAGGAGACTATATGCTGATTAACTGCTGAAAGAGCACAGCTTTAATCTTCTTTGGGCAGAAATGAGAGGCTAAGAACCCGGTATGCTGCACACTAGATACCAAGCTGAATTCACTTAATGGTGAGATTGTAGAACCCTTACGCATGTTGGTTAGAACTTTACAGTGTGAACTGTCTCATTGTACCTATGGAGTAGAGTACTACTCAAAGTGAGTAAGAGTATTGCAATCTGACCTTAAACTAATTTAAAACCTCTGAACCATATAATGAACATAATTTCTCTGGTGATCTACAAAGCTCAGGGAAATTTAAAATAAATTCAAATGGCACATTTTTATAACTCCCCAAGACAATTTTTTTGCCACTATACAGATATAGATAACCAAATTAAGATAAATGCCTACAAAATAGGAGACATTTTTGTTTTCTTTTTGGTGATTTTAAAACTTCAGTATGGATTTGGGTGCAATCCAAATTAACAGTAGTAGCTAGGGTTGGAATAATGCAGACAGACTTTGCTCAAGCTTTCTTGCACAGCTCTGCCATTGCACCTCAATGTTAACCTGCAACACAACCCCTATTCTAGTCCCAGGCAATTTTTATTCTCAATTTGTCAATCATGCTGACTTGTGTCGCAGTTTGGGAAGTGGATAAGAGGACTAACAGTAAGGACTAAGAAGAGACCACCAGCACTAAAATATATAGTTTGCTCTGTACAGCCTCACCCTGAAGTGTCAACTGGATACAATAATCTTCATTTTTTGTTTTAAGCAGTTGTGTAGCTCTCTTGTTCACTGCTAAACAGTAGAAGGTTGCACCAAGTCGTTCCTTTGTAATGTAATGTAATTTTTATTGAAGTGCTTTCAGATCCTTTAGCATAAAAATTGCTCTAAGCGTGCATATTTCCTTTTTAACTGTATATTTTATTTATTATACTGTCTCAGGCCCTCAAACATTTTTAAGCATGGGGAGTCTTAATACATCAATATTTAATATTATTAATATAAAATGTTATTATCTGATCCAGCATATGAAGCCCTCTCTACGCGGGGAGGACCTTTTTGCTTTTAATCAGAATGCCACATTTCTCTTTATAACATTTTGTTTTAATCTAATGTTGCTTTCTATTTTGCTATTCCTGCACCCCCATGAAAAAATGCTCCTAAGTTTAAGGGAATGGCAAAGATCTATGTTAACTGTGAACGTGTTATGGAGCAGTTAAGTTTTCTTCTTTCTTTCCAGAAATCTGTCGGGGGGGTTAAGTAGTCAGCAGCAATGAAGAACAGTTTCAAAGGGTTTATCTATGAAGCAGGAAGCTAACTCCTTACCATCTCTAGACATTCCTAGGGCAAGACACTTCTGCAGTCGGCAGTGTTGGCAACGATTTCTGTTGGTTCTGTCAATTAAACAGTTTCTCTGCCTGGGGCAGGAGTAAGAGGCATTGTTCTGCTGACTCCTCCTAAAGAAACCCTAGAGAGAGCATGAAAGAGAGAGAGAGAATTACTATATAGATAGATAGATAGATAGATAGATAGATAGATATAGTGGCATGTCACTGCAATAAACTCTAATTCAGTGAAATTTTTTTTATGATACCAACTTTGTAAATGCTTTAGCCATAAATAGTGAAATAAAATCATGTTCTCTCCTGATCTGAAAAACCTGTGCATTACTCTGTAAAATATAATATGAGGGTAACAAACAGGATAGAGTGATAAAATAGTGTACATCCTCAATATACAATAAACACTGAACTTCATCAAATGCTCAGGGAGACGCTCACCAATATTTCTAAAAAAGCAACTTATTGCCATTTGCTCTGAATACTTTTTTTTGTTAAAGAAAAGGTACTGGTAATGTCTAAGACTGACAATTTTTTTATTCACTGGCTACATGTGGTATCAGAAGTTGTAATATACTGTGTGATTCCCTAGGTTAACCTGGAGAAGCTTGAACTGATTTGGAGGGACCAGATACTCCACAAGAGAGAGGTAATTCAAATTGAGGCATCTACAAGAGCCCTAGGATTTAATGACCTTACTAGCTAAAGTGCAAAGGAAAAAGAAACACTTTTAAACAATACCACCCTCCTCCAGGAAAAAAAATCATGACATTTCATATGTAAAAGAAATACACCTCTACCCCGATATAACGCAACCCGATATAACACGAATTCAGATATAACGCGGTAAAGCAGTGCTCCTGGGGGGGCGGGGCTGTGCACTCCGGCGGATTAAAGCAAGTTCGATATAACGCGGTTTCACCTATAATGCAGTAAGATTTTTTGGCTCCCGAGGACAGCATTATATCGGGGTAGAGGTGTATATTATTGTCAGGTAAATACAGAAAGTTTAAAATCCCAGTTTAGCTAGGGAATAGGCTAAAAAGTTTTAAAACTTTTAGTTACCCAGTCTCAGTAGGTTTTTTTGAGTGTTATTCTGGCCAGTTGTTTGGATTTGTGACTGGGGACAAAAGTACTAGAACCCGAGAGCATGTCCTTACTTAGTCATAGCCGCTGAGAATGGCACCATCAGGCAGCATTAGGGCAGAAGTGACAAGAAATGCCAGAGATGTCAAGAGGAATGGAGCCAGGAAGGGGAGATGAGAGAAGTAAAGCTACACTTGATGTTCTTCTCTCTTCTACAGAACAACGCAAGGTAAAGAGCACAGGAGGAGCAGGGAGCCCAGAGAGGGGGAAGAGAAACAAAGGAGAGAAGTTCATTGGAGAACCTAGCAGCTTTAGAAACAGGCAACTGCACACTTACACAGTGAGAAAGAGATGGAGGGGGAGTCTAGCAACTGCAGGAAGCCATGAAGGCAGATAGAAGGTAAAAAGTGCAGTTAGCATCTGTAGGAGGAAGACAGAGTAAGTAAGGGTTGACACTGGTAGCAGTGGCAGTGAGGTGGTTGAGTGTTGCTAGGATGGTTTGTAGACTAAACCTGAACTGAATCAGCAAGCTAGGGCTGGCTTCATTCAACAGCTAGTCCAGTATTGTTTCAGTACAGAACTATGGATGACAGCAGCAAATCATGACAATAATAATAGCTGTGGAGTCTGGAGAAATAATGGTGAAGAAACAATGTAATTGGATTGTACATGACTGTATTCACTCAGTAAAGACAATATTTGATGCTTCACTCAAGTCCTAGCGCACTGAACGATGGCCAGAGGTGTCACTAGCACTGGACAACAGGTACTGAGTTTGAGTACAGATACTGACATTCCCGGTCCATGAAGTGAAGTTTAAAAGTCCCATTTCATCTACCCTGCATTGGTTGTGTTAGTGGTTATAACCTATTTAAAATTTATTTTAAGATGTAAGTTTTGTATCTTTGGGAATGCAGTTGTCCTTTAGGGAAAGTACCAATGAAAAATTGTAGAGCACTTATGTGATCCTGACCGATAAAGAATTTACTGAAGCCATGGCTGTGGGATTAATTTAAGGCCATTTTAGCGCTAATTATGAGACATTTCTTATGTATTTGCCATACTTTATTAGAAATTTCCTTTTTGGCATTAAAAGGGTTTTCTGCTTTAAATTTAAGCAATTCCAGTGTGAATAGGGAATTGAATGAATGGATTAATCAGATCAGGTCAATCTTATTTTTAAAGGTAACAGTTATAAAAATTTTTTTTTTTAGAATTGTAACTATTACATAGTCTAGAGTATCATATTTTCGTGCTACAAAGCTTTTCATAGTGAAGACTGTGCGGCTTATTTTCTATCATACAGGAATTTACACAGTCATTCTTTGTTCCTATTAGAATATCATGGGTCATATTCAAATTTTGACTTGGTATAATTTATTTTTTCCCTTCCCTCATCAGATCTAAATGTTTTCTTGGAATATATAATATTTTATATCCTTTTTTTGAATGGCTACATTTATTGGGGAGAACAATTGTTCTTTTGGGTAGAAGAATTGCACTGACCTAGTGCATAGAGTAGAAGAGCTAAAAACAAGTTTCTTGGCTCTTTTCCTAACTCTGACATTGAATCACTTTGTGATGTTGGGCAAGTCACTTAACCTTTCTCTATCTCAGTTTCCCAGTCTGTAAAACAGGTATAGTAATATGTTCCATACCTCAAAGAACTAGACTGCAGTTTTAACCACTTCCCACAATGGTGGAGAGACAGGTGGAATGAGACACTTTTGAGAGCCCCAGAGACATTGAGGTAGGCACAAAGGGTGAAATCCAGGCCTCAATTAAGTCAGTGGGAAAATTCCCAGAAGATACCAAATTCCTGAAGATACCCAGGCATGCTGCAGGATATGACAGTGCTATTTGCTACACCCTTTAACAAGGTGCAATGAGGACTGGATAGATCAGATATAGAGTGATCGCTTTGTGAAAAGTGTTCACACACAGGTGACAGGGTGTTTTTGTCATTTATCATTTTCCTGTATGAGTTCATTTGAGAGAGTAGTGACTATCTGGTTTCACCCAGATAGTTTTTATTGGGGCATTTAGTGCACTCGATATGTAAAGATGTGTTGTGGTGGGTGTTGATCACTGATCGCAGTGGAGATATGGCTGCAGGTTTTGCATCTGTTGTTCTGTCTGGTTCTGGTGCCGTTCTGAGTAGCTGTGTCCTGGTCTGTGGGGAGCTTACTTCTGATGATGAGCTTGGATTGAGGGGTTGTTTAAAGGCCAGAAGTGGGTGTTAACAAAACAATCACTCTATGGGCTTGTCTTCACGTACAGCACTGCAGCTGCACTACTGTAGTGCTTAAGGGTATGTCTTCACTACCGTGGCTGTGTAGTTGTGGTACCAGGGCTGGGAGAGAGCTCTCCCAGTGTTGTAAGAAGCCCACCACCACGAGGGGAGTAGCCCCCAGCGCTGGTGCATAGTCCATACTGCCACTTTACAGTGCTGAAACATGCATCGCTCGGGGGAGGGTGTTTTTTCACACCCCTGAGCAAGAAAGTTTCAGCACTGTAAAGTGGCAGTGTAGACGAGGCCTTAGTGAAAACACTACTATGCTGATGGGAGAGCTTCTCCCATCAGTGTAGTCAATCCACCTTCCCAAGAGGCGGTAGCTCTCCCATTAACATAGCACTGTCTACAGGAGGGAAGAGGGGTTAGGATTTTGCACACCCTTCAGCGAGGTAGTTATACTGGTTATACTAACTATACTGATATAGGTCTATAGTGTAGATGTGGCCTATATCTGACCTCTCAGTCCTCATTCTCAAAGGAAACATTTTGAGCCCAGATGCTTAAATTCATAACTCTGCTAGACACTAAACATCATGGATTGAACAGAGACACTGGATTTATGGCTTATTACAACAATCTGTTACTCTCTATCCACCTGTTTTTGTCCTATGACTGCAGAGGTGTTAACGGGACACTTTACCTTGAATGGTCCCTTAGAATATGTGCTAACTACTGATGTTAAACAATCTGTTCCAACTTGCATTTTGCTGTGATGCTGGGAGTGCCTTTCCCAGACCTGAAGAGCTCTGTGTGGCTCAAAAGCTTCTCTCTCTCACCAACAGAAGTTGGTACAGTAAAAGATATTACCTCACTCACCTTGTCTCTCTAATATCCTGGGACCAGCACAGCTACAACTAGATTGCATACATCTTTCTTCATGACAGTCTCATGAAACAGGATTAGACTAATTGATCTGCTACTTTGAAACTGGCACAAAAACAAAAGGGTTACAACTGTGTTAAGTGGTAGAGGAGCTTCTTATCTCAATATACACATAGAGCTAAGAGGCATTGTCTCCTCTTGAGGCACACACAAGGGCTACCATTAACACTAATCACATCCAGAGGAGACTTTATTCCTTACTGCTTTATGTAGACTGGTTACAGAGACAAGAAGCTCTTTTTCTGCTTAAAAGCATTTTTCTTTATTATTATTTTTGTGCCAATTTTAAAGTATCAGATCGATTAGACTAATCCTGTTCTGTGCGATCATCATAAAAAGAAGCCTATTTCCGGTCCAGTATCACAATAAAACTGTGTCACAATGGGGGATGGCTCATTTACAATTGTTAAAGTTTCTGAAAGACAAGGTCTGATTTTGGACAATATATCACTTCTCAATTTACTGGCATTAAATCAAACTTTATTTTTGGGATGTGATAAATCCAATGTTTTGAATTTTTCAGATGCCTTCAATGTTATAAAATGCTAAATACAAACCTGGGGAGCAAGATATTTCACACTACATACATGTAGATGTGTATGTGCACCCACAAAATGTACAAGTGCATGTTTCTATCTATAAAAGGACCTGCAGGTGCTAATCAGAGCCTTTGCATCTTTGCACCTTCAAGAACTGCAAACACGAAGATTTGCCTTTGCAAAATTCTCGGGTGCTGTGAGTGCCAAAATAGCCCCTTATACATAAGTTAGCCACAGGGACTGCTTTAACATATGGCAGCCTCCCCACAGGTGCTGATGGCAGGTGCTGCAGCAGCCCCAAATCACAGGAGCACTATGGGCATTCTCTCTTCTACCCCAACCTGCTCCTTTCCAGCCCTGGGGTATGCCAAGCCTACAAGGAGGGACAATGCAGTGCCATTTACACTCTTCCTGAGCTGGGGGAATTTCTCGCTGGGCAATTGCAATTTCTTTATGTCCCCTTGAGAGCACAGAGGCTCTCTATGAGTGGGGCCAAAATCAGTCCCATATCTCTTAAAACTGTGCATTATGACACTTAAATTAACTTTGACATTTCACACATATCGTAAATGAAACAAGAGAACAAAACTAGTCCTCAGGTTCATTCGGGGTGGAGCAATTCTAACATACTGTAACCAGCATCTGTATCACCATTTATGCTGCATCACATATTACTAATTCAAAGCCTCAGACAAGGAGCTATTTCCAAATATCATTTGACTGTTGAATAAGGAAGACAACAAGTAAAATTAGACACGGAACACCTGTGTATCAGCAGCAGGCATTACAGCCTTTGGCACGCCTTGTCTGAAAGGGTGTCAGAGTGTGTTGTTAAGTACACAGAAGCCTGAGGCAAATGCAGATGCCAATGACAGTGCTGTATAAAGTCTCATACCTTGCAGCCTTCACATGTGATGACTCCATAGTGTATTCCAGAGGACTTATCTCCACAAATTTTGCATGGTATCACTTCAATTTGTGCTGAAAAAGAGAAAAGGGTTATTTTTGGTTTATAATGCCGTTCGTTTCTTTTCTGCCCTAACTACTGATCATAGATGTTAGAGCTGGTCAGACACCTAACTCTCTGCAAGTGTAAAATTGTTCTTTATGATATTTTATGATTTTTAGTGCTCTGTTCACTCCAGTTCTAATTGATTCACATGATGGGGCTTCCACCATTTCCCTGAAGAGAATGTTTCACAATCTAAGAGATCTCATGATAAGAAAGCTTTCCCTGACATTTGCCGTAAGTTTTTTTTTTTTTTTTTTAATTTCATCCCCTAGCTCTACCTATTGGATCACTCTAAACAATTACCTTCTTTGGTGTTTACAGCCTTCAAATACTGCTAGCCAGTAATCTTGTCCTCCATCATATCCTCACTCTTCATTTTGCTGAGGCAGAATTGCCATATATGATTTGATGCTCTTTCTATTAAGCTCCCCCGGGCTCTTCCCTCTCACCCCCATCATGGCTCATTGTACTTGAACACTTGATATGATGCAGTTCATGTGATGTTCTTTCATGTCCTCTGATTTGTGGTTTGCTGACATACATCAAAAGATACTAGCAACATCTGTAAATATCTGCAAAGTTCTGCCTCCAAGGAATTGCTTAAACCAGTGATTTATTTGCAGATATACCTCACCTCCTGCAGTCAAAGCCATTTATTTACTGGCTCTAAATTAGAGATGAGCAAGAGCTATAGATCCAGATCCTAACATCTCCAGTATCTGGTCTTTGCTTTGGCTAACTATAGAATTAGCGGCTCGCTGCAAGATTCAGAACTGCACGTAGATTCAGATTTACCCAGAATTGGAAGGTGTTTGCTTTTGGTTCAGGCCCTTCTACAACCTAAATATTCAATCACTTCTTAACCTGAAAATATATTTTCCTCTCTCTACAGATCATTTTCTTTTTTCCATCTTATCATTTCCTATATTCGAGACAGAGTATTTGCCTCATTCTCCAACTTTGAATCCTTTGCATGACTTCTCCTGTTTATACTGCGTGGTCACATCTGCTTACTAATATGTAGGGACAGACTGTGCTTGGCTCTGGGCAGGTGCACTGGGGAAAGGGAGCAAGAGCCAGGCATAATTGTAGCCCTTGCACTTTGTGGGCCAGATCCTCAGCTGGTACAAATTGGTATAGCTCTAATGAAGTCAGTGGAGCTGTGGATGTGACCTCCTGAGCAAAATACTGCTTCCTTCTAACTCCCTGATGGGGCATATGCCTCCCCAAAGTGAGTGGGAAGGCACATGCCCACCTCCCACCACAAAGATGCATCTGTCAGTCCTGTCACCGAAGGCTGGCTGGATGCAGAGGGGGAGCATGCTGTATCCTAAGGAGTAGTGCAGTATGCACTCCCCAGAGCTCTAGGAGGGATTGTGGGTCAGTGCCTTCAAGGCACAATCTGGTTTTTAGTAAGTAACAAGTGTGCACATACAGTGAGCGATGATGGGGGTGAAGGGGAAACGGAAGAGCCCAGAGGGAACCTAAGATGCATTCCCTTAAAAGTCATGCTTTCACTTGGAGGTACCACAAATGCTGGAGCGTACACTTAGCTGTAGAGGATGAAAAAATCATTTTCAAACTACTGCACACACACTCGTACACAGGTGTTCATACTATGGATGGTGTTGGAAAAACAGTAAAGTGCTCTGGCTTTATAATCTAGTACCAAACTGTATCTGTCATCATTGTTTCCAGGTAAGAGAACAGAGACTCATTACAATCATCTTTATAACTCCCTTTATAGCTTGACTAAAATCAGATGAGTACCTGGAAGGAGTTGTCCCTACAACCCCTTGGAAAGTGCTGTGTGTCTCTCACTACTAAATCATTGTTTATGGTAGTTAAGAATTCATTTTTTAAACAACTCAGTTTAATTTCCAGGCACAGTGGGGTGCACAATTGCCTCCCACGCTCAAGTGGCCTGCAAAGAAAGCCAGTCATAATCGTGGCCCCTTCTTTCAGGGAGGTGAAGTGAATATTCCTTTAATGCATCCGCAGAGGTGAACAGTGTCCCAAAGAGGGCAGGAAGGAGATAGGAAGGAATATACATGGATGGTGAAAGTCCACACCCACTGTGCACTCTGAGGCCTGGTCTACACTACGAGTTTAGGTCGACTTTAGCCGCGTTAAATCGACTTAAGCCTGGACACGTTTACACTACGAAGCCCTTTCTGTCGACTTAAAGGGCCCTTTAAACCGGTTTCCTAACACCACCTCGACAAGGGGATTAGCGATAAAATCGGCCTTAGGGGGTCGGAATTGGGTTAGTGTGGACGGAATTCGACATTACTGGCCTCCGGGAGCTATCCCACAGTGCTTCATTGTGACCGCTCTGGACAGCACTCTCATCTCAGATGCACTGGCCAGGTAGACAGGAAAAGCCCCGCGAACGTTTGAATTTCATTTCCTGTTTGCTCAGCGTGGAGAGCACAGGTGACCATGCAGAGCCCATCAGCACAGGTAACCATGATGGAGTCCCAGTCCCAGTCCCAGGATCGCAGAAGAGCTCCAGCCTGGACCGAACGGGAGGTACAGGATCTGATCGCCATCTGGGGAGATGAAGCAGTGCTCGCCGAACTCCGAAACAGTAAAAGAAACGGCAAAACATTAGAAAAGATCTCCAAGGCCATGAAGGACAGAGGCCATAACAGGGACGCACGGCAGTGCCGCGTGAAAATTAAGGAGCTAAGGCAAGCCTACCACAAAGTCAGAGACGCAAACGGAAGGTCCGGGGCAGAGCCGCAAACATGCCGCTACTACGCGGAGCTGCATGCCATTCTAGGGCGTGCAGCCACCACTAGCCCAAGCGTGTTCTATGAGTCCCTCTCTGCAAACGGGGAAGCGGGTTCGGCGGACGAGGAAGATGAGGATGGAGAGAACATAGATAGCTCACAGCAGCAAGGAAGCGGAGAAACCAGTTACCCCAACAGCCAGGATATGTTTGTCACCCTGGACCTGGAAACAGTAACCCCCGAACTGACCCAAGACCCTGAGGGCACACAGGGGACCTCTGGTGAGTGTACCTTTGCAAAAATTACACATGGTTTAAAAACAAGCGTGTTTAATGATTAATGATTAATTTGCCCTGGCAATCGCGGCCAGTACAGCTACTGGAAAAGTCTGTTAACGTGTATGGGGATGGAGCGGAAATCCTCCAGGGATATCTCCAGAAAGCTCTCCTTCATGTACTCCCAAAGCCTTTGCAAAAGGTTTCTGGGGAGGGCTGCCTTATCCCGTCCGCCATGGTAGGACACTTTACCACGCCAGGCCAGTAGCACGTAGTCTGGAATCATTGCATAACAAAGCATGGCAGCGTATGGTCCCGGTGTTTGCTGGCATGCAGACAACATCCATTCCTTATCGCTCTTTGTTATCCTCAGGAGAGTGATATCATTCACGGTCACCTGGTTAAAATGGGGCAATTTTATTAAGGGGACATTCAGAGGTGCCCCTTCCTGGTCTGCTGAACAGAAATATTCCCCGCTGTTAACCACGCGGTGGGGGGGAGGGGTGAAGTGACCATCCCAGAGAATTGGGTGTGTGGGGGAGGGGAGTTAGTTGGGTTTGTGCTGCATGTTAAACCTGAAATCGCAGCCCCTCCTTTTACATTGCAAACCCATTTTAAATGGCACGGGTGCTTGGTATGGGAAATGAGGGCAGAACTGTTTGAAACCATCCCCACATGTTAAGAAGGTTAAAAAAGCCCAAAGACTATATGTCTTACCATGGCTGCCTGCAAGCTGAAATCTGTGTCCTGGCACTGCGTGAGTGATCTCTCACACCAAACCAGGAGACTCTCAATATAAGAGGAAAAATGCGACCTTGTAACGAAAGCACATGTGCTGTGTGATGTTGTGAACAGCAAAATCTAACGTGAAAGAGTCTACCCATTGTTCTCTAAAATGTATCTTTTTTAACAACCTCTCCCTTCTCCACCAGCTGCAAATCTTACTCCTTCGCAGAGGCTAGTGAATATTCGAAGAAGGAAGCGAAGGACGCGTGACGAAATGTTTACTGAACTTCAGACTGCCTCCCACGCTGACAGAGCACAGCTGAATGCGTGGAGGCAGTCAATGACTGATTTTAAAAAAGCCCAATATGAGCGAGAGGAGAGGTGGCGTGCTGAAGAGGAGAAGTTGCGTGCTGAAACGCGGGCTGAAGAGGAGAGGTGGCGTCAACTTGTAATCAGAAAGCAAGAGTCGATGCTCCGGCTGCTGGAGCATCAAAGTGATATGCTCCTGCGTATGGTTGAGCTGCAGGAAAGGCAGCAGGAGCAGAGAACGCCGCTACAGCCCCTCTGTAACCAGCAGCCCTCCTCCCCAAGTCCCATTGCCTCCTCACCCAGACGCCCAAGAACACGGTGGGGGGGCCTTCGGCCACCCACTCACTCCACCCTAGATGATTTCCATAGCAATAAGTTTTAAAGTTTTAAATTGGAGTGTGTCCTTTTCCTTCCCTCCTCCCCCACCCATCCCGGGCTACCTTTCCAATTATCCCCCTAGTTGTGTGCTGAATTAATAAAGAATGCATGAATGTGAAGCAACAATGACTTTATTGCCTCTGCAAGTGGTGCTCGAAGGGGGGAGGGTAGTAGGGGAGGGTGGGGTGGTTGGTTTGCAGGGAAGTAGAGTTAACAGGGTGGTGGGGGAGGGGCAGAGGGTTCATCAAGGAGCAACAAACAGAAGTTTCACTCCGTAGCCTGGCCAGTCACAAAACTGGTTTTCAACGCTTCTCTGATGCGCACCGCGCCCTGCTGTGCTCCTCTAACCGCCCTGGTGTCTGGCTGCGCGTAATCAGCGGCCAGGCGATTTGCCTCAACCTCCCACCCCGCCATAAATGTCTCCCCCTTACTTTCACAGATATTGTGGAGCGCACAGCAAGCAGCAATAACAATGGGGAGATTCTTTTCGCTAAGGTCTGAGCGAGTCAGTAAGCTGCGCCAGCGCGCTTTTAAACGGCCAAATGCACATTCCACCACCATTCGGCACTTGCTCAGCCTGTAGTTGAACAGGTCCTGACTACTGTCCAGGCTGCCTGTGTACGGCTTCATGAGCCATGGCATTAAGGGGTAGGCTGGGTCCCCAAGGATCACGATAGGCATTTCAACATCCCCAATGGTTATTTTCTGGTCCGGGAAGAAAGTCCCTTCCTCCAGCTTTCGAAACAGAAGAGACTGCCTGAAGACGCGAGCATCATGTACCCTTCCCGGCCAGCCCACGTTGATGTCGGTGAAACGTCCCTTGTGATCCACCAGGGCTTGCAGCAGCATTGAAAAGTACCCCTTGCGGTTTATGTAGTCGGCGGCTTGGTGCGCCGGTGCCAAGATAGGGATATGGGTTCCGTCTATGGCCCCACCACAGTTTGGGAATCCCATTGCAGCAAAGCCATCCACTATGGTCTGCACGTTTCCCAGAGTCACTACCCTTGATATCACCAGGTCTCTCATTGCCCTGGCAACTTGGATCACAGCAGCCCCCACAGTAGATTTGCCCACTCCAAATTGATTCCCGACTGACCGGTAGCTGTCTGGCGTTGCAAGCTTCCACAGGGCTATCGCCACTCGCTTCTCCACTGTGAGGGCTGCTCTCATCCTGGTATTCTGGCGCTTCAGGGCAGGGGAAAGCAAGTCACAAAGTTCCATGAAAGTGCCCTTACGCATGCGAAAGTTTCGCAGCCACTGGGCATCGTCCCAGACCTGCAACACGATGCGGTCCCACCACTCTGTGCTTGTTTCCCGGGCCCAGAATCGGCGGTCCACGGCATGAACCTGCCCCAGTAACACCAAGATTTCCACATTGCTGGGGCCTGTGCCTTGTGAGAGGTCCATGTCAATTTCCTCATCACTATCGTCGCCGCGCTGCAATCGCCTCCTCCTCAGCTGGTCCTGGTTTGGCTTTGGCATGTCCAGGAGGCTCTGCATGTTTTCCAGGACAATGCGCGTGGTGTTCATAGTGCTCAGAATTGCCGCGGTGATCTGAGCGGGCTCCATGATCCCAATGCTGGCTATGGCGTCTGGTCTGAAAAAAGGCGCGAAAGTAGTATCTGACGGACCAGGGGAAGAAGGGAGGGAGGGAGAGAGGGAGGGAGGGGCGAGTGACACCGCGTACAGGTACAGGGAATTAAAATCAAGAAAGGTGGCTTTGCATCAGGGA